CCCCCCCGCAGCTGGAAACCCCTGCTGGGACTCTGGGGTTGCTAATGGCTGCTCCAGCATGGGAAATTCAGGTAAGAAGTGGAGGGGGAAAAGGGAGGGGAGGGAGGCAGGGGAGGACCGCAGGGATCGCCCCAGTCCTCATGGCTGGGCCAGCTCCTGCTGAGCCCCATGGTTCGGCCATGTAGTCGGAAGCCAGTGGCTGGGAAAGTGGCAGTGGTGGTGGGGAGAGGAGTGGCATGTGGGAGCACAGGGCCAGCATCAGTATCCTGGGGCCAGCATCAGCAGGGCCCAGAATGGGGCAGTAGGAGTGCAGGACGCAGGCTGGCAGGGGTCTGGGGAGCTGGGCTGGACTGCACCAGCAGGGAAAGTGAGAAGTTGACCCAACTCCATAGAGTCCCTGCTGGCCAGGACCCTGCGCTCTTGCCGCTCTGCTTTGGGCCCCCGCCAACACTGGCCCCAGGACATCGGCGCAGGCCCCGCACTTCCCCCTAGCTGCTGCTGGCTCTCGTGCGCCAGTTCACTCCCAGTGCCCAAACCCCAGCCCCACAGTATAGGCAGGAACCAGCGTGCAGCCCCGACCCCGCGTGCCCCACGCTCTGCTGCGGGGAACAAGCTGGTGCTCAACGTAAGGGAAAAGCGGCCCCCCCACTCCGTGGCCAGCGCCCTATGCTGCAGCTACTCAGAACCCATGTGGAGCTGTCCTGCCTCTCCACGTTACCACCACCCCGCAGGGCAGCGCTGGCAATGGCGAGCAGGCACAGGCAGCCCTGTGGGAGGGCCGCTTTCCTCCACGCCAAGCAGCAGCTTCTGGGGAAAGAACTGGTGCTCAATGCACGGGGCAAGCAGCCACTCCCCCTCCCCGTGGCCGGCACCCTGTGCTGCAGCTGCTCAGAGCCCATGCAAGACTGCCTGTGTCTGCTCTCTATTGCCACCGCTACCCTGTGGGGGCAGTGGTGACACAGCAGAGAGGCAGGACACCCCTGTGCCGGCTGCGAGTGGCTGCAGCAGGAAGCACCAGCCATGGGGGGGGGGGGGGGGGGGGGG